AGTCAAGTCCAAATTTTAAAAAAGTGCGTATTTTAGAGTTCATCTTTGGTAAAATCTTTGGTTCGAGGTACTAGTTCTTTAAAAGTTCATTCAGATTCTTACCTTGTGCTATAAGGTTGCATTGCTGCCCCTCGTACACATGCTGCAGCTTGATGATATGATAAAGAATTTTGGTTCTTTCTGGAGAACTAATTAAGGAAACTGTTTACTATGTGGCACGTGTGCTTGTGTGTGTTTGCACACGTGTGTGTGTGTGTCCTGAGTTCACGTGTTGTTTTTTTTTCCCCTCATAAATAACACTACAGGGATTTTTGTCAATTAGATTTAATCTATAATTTGGAATCATTTATTGTGTGACCTACAGGCTTAGAAATGGCATAGTCAGAGACTGATCCACATGTCTAATGGCTTTATTAAATACTTAAGATCAGTCTCTGTTTATGGCAGTGGGAGAAATAGCCAAAGTTCGAGAATTTTATGTATGTTTTTCTGTTTCCCTGAAAAATAGAAATTAATTGGACTTTTTGGGTAGAGATTACCTTCTTTATAATGTTTGGATTATATAAAATTGTAAAATGTTAAGAGCTCGCTTTACTGCACTAAGCCTGTTACTTTCCTGACATGCGAACAGAATGCCTTATTTTGTAATATTGTTTAACTTGTTGCTACTGGGATTTGAATTTCTGTGGCACTTGTTAAATAATTTTTAAAAAGATAAAACCTCTCATTATAAAAGAGGAAAAGTAATGGTGATGTCTGTAACACAATACAAACCACAATTGTGATTTACCTTAAGTAGGTATGACTGTTATGGAATATACAGTTATAGTTTTTGTGAATTCTTACATGATAGCATTATCTTTTTATATTTTTTTCCCTAAGATAAACAGTTGCATAGTTTTCTTCTATGAGGGATAGAAACAGCTTTTTGAAATAATATTGAAAACCTCAAAGATCACGTTCTTAAGTTTTGCCTTTTGCATAAGCCTCTTTATTACATGTATCTTTAAGACCATTAAGTCTTTAGGAATGTGTAACCAGAACTATGTTAGTATTGCTTGTAAAACTTTAGTTAGGTTTAATATATACATGTATGCATCCACATGTAGGCATATAGATTCTCATTTTGTCTTGTAAAATTTTATTTGAATAAATTCCTCCTGTAGGTAATGGGAAACAAAATTAATAGTTCATATACCACTCATAGCCTTTCTCATATTTGAAAATAGCCCAGTATATAAAACTTCTAATTCTAAAGTTAAACCAGCAGCCTATTACAAGCACATTCTTTGATTGAGTCATGTTACAGACTTGTTAAGTGCAAAGAAGACAACCAGTGTAGGGAACTTCTGAGTCTGTGGGACACTGTTGATTAATAATGTACTGTACGATTTAAGTGATGCTTTAACTCTGATTTTACATTTTAAAGTTAAAATGTGGGCATTATGTCAGCAAACTTAAGGGCATTATGTCAGCAAGCTAAAACATTTTTTTTCCCCCTGTGCTTTTAATGTATGTCTATGTGATCTGAGAGAGGACTCCAGGATTCAGAGAGAAATAGCTGAGGGTAAGGAGAAACATCTTGGGATGAAGCTTGTCCTTATGGTGATAGTTTAATTACAGATTAAAAAATTAGAAGGAAATTTCAGTGGATTAAGTGTATTGCTTTCATATCTACATTTCAAGAAATTACCATTGTAACTTGATAAGAGGTGATTTATTTTATGCAAACATCATCGCAAAGCAAGGTGTAGAAGCTCAGCTAGATTTATTACTGTGCACGAGAGTAAATACCTATCTCAATTATTCTTTTTCTTTTCCAATATAAAGTTTGCTGAATGTACAAGAAGAGTTTATCACTTAGGATATAGAAATTTTTTTTAGGGGTTGGGGGGAGGGACTCTGTCAGAAAATTGTTACCTGTAAACAAAGACTGTATTGATTTGATCCAAAAAAATAAAACTTGAAACTATTCTTGAACTAACATAAAAAAATGAAATAAAGCGGCTATTGTTTTAAAAAGATAGAAAATATATTGTCGAAAGGATATGAGTTGTTTATTTTCTACATACTGTAATTGATGAGGACATGGATAATATCTTCATGTTTCTGAGAAGTAATATGTACATGGGGGGAGGGGATAATAAATATTATTTCTAACTGAGTGGTGTTTTGTGTCTACCTCCCTTGACATTTTATAAAACCATTTATAATTTAATTTACTGAGCTAATCTTTCCCCTGAGCATAGCAGAAAACCTGACTCAGCATGGGGAAATGGATATATGCTGGGCTTTTTTAAGAAAGGAGATTTCAGAGTTTAGAGTCCAGCAAGGAAGGACTGCTGCCGTTCTCTGTAATGTCAACTGAATCATGGACCACTGTATCTGAGGAGGTCTTTCTCTTTGGGTGGGGAAGAAGAGGAGGAGGTGCTTGATTGGCCTTGGCCATGAAGTGAAGTGCCTCCAGGAGACAGCCTTCCCTGCCCTTCCTCACAGCTGCCCATGCCAGCTGCCCATATCAGGGCGGTTGCTTAAATGGGTAATGCCCACTGTTTTCTGTGGATATTAATTGATGTTAGGTGGGAGAAATAGGGTCCTTGATCAAATACATTTGGAAATGCTGGGTTAAATGAGGTGGCTCAGATGTCTTCATGTCAGTCCTGTTCTCTAATAAGCATTATGAATTAAGGAAGGCTTTACTGAGATGCCATTTGCCACAGACTCTCCACAAAGTAACTCCCGCCCCCCCCCGCCCCTTTTTTCCTTTGCAAATTGTGCTTTTGGGAAAAACAAAACCCTTGTTAATCTCATACCTACTTTGAGGTGTTGATCAGGATATTGATCAAATTCAGCGATTACTCAAAATTTGCACTTTATTTTGTCCCCCCACTTGGCATAGCCTAACAAGGTATCACTGAACTCCAAATAAATGGTCAGTTGATAGAAAAAAGGGTTGAATTTCTGCTGAATTTAAAAACTCTTGCCTGTGAGTCATTGAGGAAAGACAACCGATTCATGGATCTGGTTTTAGTTTTCACACTTGCATCGAGCCCATGTTAAAATTTGTTATGTTTGCTTTCCCAAGTTTTCGGTTTCAGTTTAGAAACAGCTGTGGCTTGTGTTCTAGTAGCAGGGCACAGTTGCTCCCACTCAGAGTTGGTTGCTGGTGAGGGGATTGACCAACACCAAGGATCAGATGCACATAGGACAACACTGAGTGGGCATGGGAGCCTGAGGGCACTCTTTGGAGGAAGCTCAGCCCCCTCCAGAGGGTTAACTGGGGCACATTCCCTGGAATGTGAATTTGCTTTCAGAATTTTAATGTACAGATTACACAGGTAAATATGGTATTTCTGATATTCCCCCCCCCCATTTTTCCTAATGGAGTCTGCAGAGTCAACTCTGATCTTTTAAAGTTTCTGAAGTAAGATGTGTGCATTTTTCCCCCCTGTTGTCTCATTTTCTTCTGAACACCTATCCTTAACCTCAGCACCTGCCCCACCCCTTGTTACGATGTTGCTTTGTTTCTAACTTCATCTATTTTTTTTTTTCCCCTATGAAAGCCATTTCGTTTCCTGTTTGGGGTTTGCAGTTAAATGTCAGTAGGGTAGTTTCCAAAGTGGAAAGCACCTACGTTCATTCTGTTTTGATCAACTTCTTGCTCCTTGTGATAGCTGCTCTTTTTCTTAGCTGTTGTATCTGACGAGAATTTGGAGCAGTAATGGTTTAGTCATTTACTAATAATGCACACATTTATTGAACATCTGGGTATCTTTTATTTTTAAATCCAAATGCAAAATGAAATTCCATGAAAAGCCACGGAGTTAATCCTGATTGTGTTGGGGGAGTTGTGTGCACGTGGAGCATGAGGGCTTCCAATTACAGGATCTTCAAGAAAAAGTACCAGGACAACCTGGTGTTCTAACTGTAATGTACTCCAGCTGGCTTGAATGACTCACATGATCTGTTACCTTTCCAGGAATTTAGGGAACCAGTGATAAACACAATCATTGAAAAATTATAGCCAGGTGTGGTGGTTTATGTCTGTAATCCCAGCAGTTTGGGAGGCTGAAGCAGGAGGATCATGAGTTCAAAGCCAGCCTCAGCAATTTAGCAAGGTCCCAAGCAACTTGGTGAGCCACTGTTTCAAAATAAAAAAAAAAGGACTGGGGATGTGGCTTAGTAGTGAAACGCTCCTGGGTTCAATCCTCGGTACCCCTCGCCCCCCAATTTTTATATATATATAACTTTCAGTAAATCCATCCTTAAAAATTCTTACTTTCTAGTTACTGAGTTTTACTGTTAAGTTTTTGAGGTTATGTGCCTTAATTCTTACTGATATGGTGGAAATACTTCAAATTACTGTGTTCCTGCACATCTCTTTCCTGCTAGTGATGGTACATTTGTAGCTCAGAACTGGCCAGAGTGGAGTTATTTATACCATGGAAATCGACAGATACTATGAAAATCAAGGTGAGATGAATCATGTGTAATGTCTAGACTTAAAAGTGATGATGAAAACGTTAATGCAGACTAAATTTAAAAACATGTCATGTGTGTAACTGTAAGGAATAGCACATAAAATTGAAGAATATTCCAGCAATTGAGAACTATTATCTGATTTACCAAATTAGCTTCTCACATCATTGATAAGTTCTAATGTAGTTTTTCTTGTTTTCATTTTGTTATTGCTAATTAATACACATTAAATATCAATCAGCTTTTATGTCAGAACTATACTTGACAGTTGTAACTTCGGCAGAAACCAAGTACTACATTCTGTGAGAACTGATTGGTTATATAGAAATTACAATAAAGATTATTGTATGTTTTATAAATGGTGTGCTTTATATCCTTTCAGTAACTAAATAAATACGCACATACTTTTTTCCCACCCAGGGGGCTGGTTGTTAAACTGTTACCAGGGCTCCACTATTTTCACACATTAATTCTTATGCTAACTTCGAGAGGCAATAAAATAAAGTGATTGTAAGAGGGAATTAAAATGTATTCAAAGACCCTTTACTAACAGGGAAGGCCCACACAGCCATTGTTTTTCCTCCACAGATTAGCATAGCCAGTTCTAAGACTTCACATAAATGGAGTCATTGCAGTGTTCTCTTCTGAATGAAGTTTTCTTCACTCTGCATAATGTTTCTGAGATTCATCTGTGTCATTCATGTACTGATAGCTTATTCCTTTTTATTGCAAAATGGTATTCTTTTGTATGGATATACCATGGTTTATCCAGCTTCTTACTGATCAGACATCTGGGCTGTTTCCAGTTTGTGGTTATCACCGGTGAAGCTGGTATGAGCACTCCTTTGAGGTTGTACTGTGTTGTGATTTGATCTGTGCTAAATTCTCAGTGCAGGAAATGATCTGTAACAGAAAACATGGGGAAAAGATAATTGAATCACGAAGAGAATGAATCCTTTCTGTTTTGGGTCTTATAGGAAGAGCAGTGTATCTGTTAGAAAATGCCGAAGACATTTCTAAAGGGGAGTTCAACAATAAGGATATTATTTATTTTGTGTACAAGATCTCTAGAGGCAGGGCAGTTCCACACTGGCTCATAGGCTCCATAAATGCCATCAAAAGGACAGGACCAGGGCTGGGGATACAGCTCAGTTGGTAGAGGGTTTGCCTCAAATGTCCAAGGCCCTGGGTTCAATCCCCAGCACCACAAAACTAACAAAAGCACCAGACCATACCTCATACCCATTAACATGGCAACTAGTAACAACAAAACCCAGAAAGTGAGTGTTGGTGAGGATGTGAAGATACTGAAACGCTTGTTGGGAGGAGTGTAAAACTATAGCCACTGCGGAACACTATGTGCCAGTTCCTAAATAATCAAAAATAGGCTAGGCATGGTAGCACACGCTTATAATTCCTGCCACTTGGGAGGTTGAGGCAGGAGGATTGCAAGTTCAAGGTCGGCCTCAGCAATTTAGTTAGCCCCTTTCTAAAAAAGGTGAGTGGGACTGGGGATGTGGCTCAGTTATTAAGTGCCTTTGGGCTCAATCCCCAGTGTGTGTGTGTGTGTGTGTGTGGGGGGAACCTGAAACAAACAAAAAACTACCATAGAACTAGGATCTAGAAATCCTACTTCTGGATGTATACCCCAAGAAATTGAAAGCAGGGTCTCCAAGAGATATCCATACTCTGGTTGACAGCAGCATTACTCACAGCCCAAATGTGGAAGCAACCCGGGTCCATCGACGTACGAATGGATACACAGTGTATAAACAATGAAAAAAGAACACCACGGCAAAGGTGGCTGACCTGGCATCAGAACGCTCCAGAAGCAGGTTCACTCGATGGCTCACACCTGTGCTCCAACCACCTTCAGGGCGCAGAGGGAAGATCCCCCAGCCCAGGACTTTCAGGTGACAGTACTGAGACACGTCCCAAGAAGTCGAATGTCACATCCGAATGGACCAAGCCAGTGGTCAAGATAAGAAATAGAAGTAAGAACTAGACGCACCTCATGTGGCCCGCGGACGGGGCCCCCCCTGGAGCTGGCGTTTGGCTTCCCGGGAAACGGGCCACGCGGGCCTCGCCCTGGTCCCGGGTATATATACCGCTAGTTGCAGGGGCTGCAAGCGCTCCGCCTCGCTCCTCCTTCCTGCCTTGCACGACTCACCGCGTCCTCCCAGCCCAGGTTCTGTAAGTAAAAATCTCCAAATTGGTTTCTCATTGTGGTGATGAATTTGTGCCTGTCTCCTGAAGAACCAGGGGCCACCGCGGCCTGGGGTTTCCTTGGGACATTATAGGGAACCCAAAGCTCAGGCTGCAAACCCAACAGGGCCAGATGCGAGCCACAAGGGCTTCTGTCGGTACACTAGTGTCCCTCCGCCAAGAAAGTTTAGCTTTTTTTGGTTTCATTACCTACTGTTAACCATGATCTAAAAATATTAGATGGAAAATTCCAGAAATGATTCAAAGTTTTAAATGGTGTGGTGTTCTGAAGGTATGGTGAGAACTTGTGCCATCCCATTTCTTTCCTGCCCAGAATGTGAATCATCCTGTTGGCCGGTGTATCCATGCTATAATTCTGTGTACGCAAAGGAAAAATCATGATATGTATAGGGTTTGGTACTGCGTTTCTGGAATCCCCTGGGCGTCTTGGAAAGTGTTCCTTGTAGATAAGCGGGGGCACTACTGTAGTTACATTCACAGAGACAAACTATAGAAAGGTGGTTACCAGGGGATGGGGAGAGATGGGATTGCCGTGTTGTTTCTAAATTTATATTGCAAGATGAAAGAAGTCTGAAGACTGATGGTACATGATTGTTCTTAATGCTACCGGAAATGTATACTTAATAAAACTCACCATCTTAACCATGTAAGTATATTTTGCCATAACTAATTAAAAGAAAACAATTGGGAGTTTTGATCTTTCTCTGTCATCTTGTATGTTTGTAATGCTCTCTCTCATGGTTCTGAAATGGCTGCCAGGGTTTAGGCATTGAAACAGAAGTACAATGTCTAGAAAGGAAGAGGAGAAACCTTCCTCTTGTTTACTAAAGGGTCAGGGATACAGGGGATCTTACCCAGAAGGGCCCTGCAGACTTCTCCTCTGACCTCCCACTGGCCAGATAGGGCTTCTTGCTACAAGGGAACCTGCAGAAGCAAGCAGCTAACATTTTTCAGCCTCTGTAGAGAGTAACGGGGCTCTTCTAGGGAAAAAAAAAGTGTAGTCTACTTGGAATACTGCTAGGAAGAAAGAGTACTCTTCTGTGAGCTCAGTATCCATGGCCTAGTTGATGGAAGAACGGTGCTATTTATAGGGAACCAGGCCTACCTCTGATAAATGCCAGCCAGGGCAAGAATATAGAGGAAGACCTCAGTCCACCTCCCGCCCCTGCCCCATTGCACAGCAGTCTTTCTGTTATGGTGATCGTGAAAGCCAATTTTGAAGCTAATTGATTTCACTCTGGTCTCTCAGAATTGCCTTGGTGGGAGTAGTGATTACTTGGATGCCAATGAATGCTATAGATGAGGACTCTTTCTATCCCAGAACTAAGCCTCATGCCCTGTTCCTCTTAATTACCTCTCGGGTTTAGGATTAAACACACAGGCAGTGTTTACTAAAGGGGCAGGGATAGAGGGGATCTTACCCAGAAGAGCCCTGCAGAGTTCCCCTCTTACCTCCCACTGGCCAGATTTGGCTTCTTTCTGCAAGGGAACCTGCAGAAGCAAGTAGCTAACATTTTTCAGTTTCTGTAGAGAGTAACGGGCTCTTCTAGGAAAAAATGGGTTGGGGCAAACTAAAGAGGCTTGTGCAAGGACAGGGCCATTTAGGCAGGGTATCAGAATACATGGGGCTTCATCTAGAAAAGGGCATGGTTTCTGGGCTAGGTTGCCCCCTTGGAGGGGAGGGAACAGTTAGAGGAGGAGAGTAGGCCTTCTAAAGTGTGGTCTTGGGTAGGGGCCCAGTTGCCCCTGGTAAGGTCAAGGGGGGAATACTTCTGTCCCCTCTGAGGGGATGGATGTGAACTTCTTTACCCTTCATCTGCTGGCCTAACTTTTCAGTGAAGGAGAGTTAATGGTCTAATTAATCAGAACTTGGTGCAGCTATTCATGGGCTAGGTTGCAGTAACAGGCAGGGTTACTGTGCCTTGAAATTTAGCGTCTCTCTTTCTGCAAAATACAGCTTTCATTGATTGTGTTCTCCAGTAGGCAAGTGCCCCTGGGCAGTATCCCTTGGATGACTGCACCTGGCTGTGAACCTCCAGCTGGAATCCTTTCCATTTTTAGATTCGGGCAGGAGGGAGCACCAGGGCTGCCATCTAGAGTTAGCTAAGATTAGATGTAGCCTCTCCTTCATTTGATGCAAATGTTCTCGGGTAGACCTTCAACACGTGCATCAGCATCACCTGGGAACTGGTCAGAATTCCCAATTCTAGGACCTCATTCCAGACCTCCTAGATCAGAGTTCAGGACTGGGGCCTGAACTTGTTTTTAACAAGTCCTCCAGGTGATTTCCATATAGTTAAAAGATTGAGAAATACTGTACTGGAGGAAAATAGCTTGGTTTGTTAGATTGCTAGGGCTTTTGTAACAGAGGACCCTACCCTGGTTCGATAAAAGCAGAAATTAGTTTTCTCAGTCCTGGAAGTGGGTGGGGTGGAGAGTTCGAGATCAAGGTGTGGGCAGGGTCATTTCTTTCTAGGGTTGTGAAGGAGGATCTGTTTCTAGTGTCTTCTTGAACAGTCAGTTTGAATTAGGCTCCATCTAATGACCCAGGGGTGCTTAACTATTGAGCCACATCTTCAGTCCTTTTTTGTATTTTATTTAGAGACAGGTTCTTGCTGAATTGCTTAGGGCTTCACAGAGTTGCTGAGGTTGGCTTTGAACTCACGATCCTTCTGCCTCGGCCTCCTGAGCAGCTGGGATTACAGGCATGCACCACACCGCACCTGGCACCCTCAGTTCTTTTTAAAATGTTATTTTATTGAGATAGGGTCTTGCTAAAGTGTTAAGGCTGTCCTGGAACTTGTGATTCTCCTGCCTCAACCTCCTGAGTTGCTGGGATTACATGCATGCACCACCACACCCAGCCTAATAACCTCATTTTAATAGAGATTTATTAAGTTTACCTTCTGGAGTATGATGGGTTAGGACTTTGACACATGAATTTTGGGGATACAGTTCAGCTCCTAATACTTGGGGAAACCTGATCATATGGTTTTATGTTTACATGTCTATGTTCAGTTCTCCATTTATGAGCAGATAGAGGTCACAAATGGGTCTTAGTTATTTTTATAGCTCTAGTGTCCTCCAAAGAATGCCTTCTATTTTCAACAAGTGTTAAGTTGATCATTGACTATTAATGAGGGGGGCTTGTTGAGGTTTATTGATGATGATCTTGCTTTTTTGGTGTGTACAAAGCACACCTGTCTAGACTTGGTATGACTTCAGGCGCTTTCAAGGAGATCTGACATGGGATCTTGATGGATCCAGTCTTACTACAGCAGGCTATGATAGATTTCTGGATTACCTAATCTTTCTTGCTACTTGTGTGCAGTGTGTATGTGTACAGAGGGAAAATTCTTCTGGGGACAAAAAGCAGCTTAACTTCCTCAAAAACATGTTTTTTTTTTTTTTGTTTTTTTTTTTTTTTCTGTCTGAGAGCTTTTTGAAAAGTAGTTAAAAAAAAAAAATAGCCCTGCTTCATTCCAACATAGCAAAGGAATCTAGGTGTTGGATTTTTTAAGTATGGCAAAAGCCAGGCCCCAAAAAGCAGATAATTGTCATTGAGAAGTATCGCACTTTATCTGCTAGGGAGTTTCTATTGTTGCTTTTCAACTTAATAGACAGTAGTATTACAAGTTGCTATGGAAACCTACCCATTGCCAATGCCTCCTGGGCCTTAAAGACACAGAAGCCACGTTTTGTTTTCTTCCATAGAGCTGACATTGTTGTAAAACAGAGCGGAGCAAAGTGAATGTGGAATTAGAGCTGACATCCTGCTCCCTCTTCTGTCCCTTTCCCTCGCCTCTGTGGTTTCCAAGTTTACCAGGCCCTTGAATAGCCCAGTGTTCAAAATTGTATACTTTGGTCTCTGGAATTCTTTCAAGCAAACAACCACATTACTGTCTCCCTGCAGTTTTGTCACTTTAGGGATGGTTGGCATCTATGTAGTTAATAAACTCCAGCTCCCACCCAAGGTTTGACACATGGCAGCCTTCTATTGTTTTTGTGACCACGTTTCCTCCATTCAGGTGGGACATCTAAAGGAGGTGCCAAAATAACGAGACTGATTCTTGAGAGATTTCCAACTTGGGCGAAGCCACAAAAGTCTGGCAGATCTAGGGATCTATTCTGGGTTATGCCAAGGAATTGAATTTAGTACGCTAAGCTTGAGGAAACACTGGAAATTCTGGCAACTGCTCTAAATGGATTTTTCTCACTCCTCTGAGCTTTGCCCACAGCCACTGAATGCATTATATATTACAAAGCTAATTATAAAAAATCCAGACAGCCAAGGGACATCTGATTCATCTGATAAGCTGATTTCTGAGCAGACCTACAGCCTGGGTTGCAAGTCTAGGAGGCATGGTTAAGAAGTTAGATAAAACCTTAGTTGTTAAAAAAAAAAAAAAAAAAATGCAATTGGCAGAAGTTTGCTGGCTAGGACAGTTTAGATTTTACTGGGATATATTTATTTTGTCTTAGTTTAGACCATCATTTAGTACTGATTTTTATGGTTGTGTTAAGGGAGGAGTAACCTCGTGTTTTGGTGTAAAAATTGCCTTATTTCATAAGGAAAGTGGGATCAACTATGAAAACATGGATTATATACCCTGGCATTGGGGTGATTCTTGTCTTCACCCCATCACTTCTTTGAGAACTTGGGGCAATCTCAGAAATTTGTAGGTAACCAAATTTATACAATGGATAAAAAGAACAGGAATTTGGGCCAAGGAGACGCCTTAGAGATCATCTGTTACAACACTACTCAGACTTTTCTCTCACCAGGACACAATGTCATGGAATTTCTAGTTGGCGGTGGGGGGGCTCTCTAAACAGACTTCAAACAAGAAGTCGAAACGATGCCAGGTTCCCCTTCATGCTGGGAATCCCTTGTAAGTGCCTCAAAATTGTCCCA